AAAGAAAATTAAGGTAATTAACAGTAAATTACTTGTAAATAACTTAATTACAGAAAGAAATAAGTGACTGAACTGAACAATTCTATTTTAGCACATTCATTTTCTCATTCCCTAAGAAGAAGAGCACATTTCACTGTGAGCACTGAGTGCTTCAGGAATCAGAAAGCATTCCCACCAATCTGAAAAGAACTGCCCTTTCCCAAATTCTAATCACAAAAGGAAAAAAATATAACAAAATAAAACTTACAAGCTTTCAAAAATGGCCCAGAAGAAGAGAAAAATATAACTATTTCATACACCAGCTACAAGTCTGGCCACGTGTCAAAACAGATTCATTCCAACGAGATCCAGATTTCATCCCAAGAGCAATTAAATTCTCAGCAAAGCAGTTAAAACCCATCTGTCTCTTCAAGCCAGATTTCAATTATTATTCAGTAATCCTGTGTCCTTATAATTACATTGATGCTCACTCTGCATATACCCAAAATACTGGTTTATTTTTATTTCAGTAAGAACTAACATAGCACAAAAATTCACATTTTCCTGGAATCTACAGTAGAAAGGGGTCAGAAGATTCCATCTCTTTTGTCTTTTTGTAACAGAGTCTTGATATGATCTGATAATACAGGGAACACTCGTAAAAGTTTCCTGTCTAAACCTATTTGCCCAAATGAAACTGCTTTACGAGAAAAGACAAAAAAACCCTAGAGAACAACTTGTTCTCTACAGAATACTAAAGAAAGAACTAGTGAAATATTTTCAGTTTCAATTTTTACTTCTCGCAGACCATTAAGCACTAGAATAGTTTAAAAACAAGCACATACTTCAGCAGAATAACAGCTCTATTATCTATCCTACTCTAAATGTAAATAAGGACTTGCACTTTCCAAAAATATTCAAAGCTTCACTCTGAACAAACAAATATTAAAGCTCATGTTTCTCATGTGGCTACTTAATGGAATGGACAGGAGTAAACACAACAGCTCAAACCTCACTACAAGAAGAGAGCATTTCATTACGGTTAAGCAAGGGAGCCACGAGACTCCAGTCAGGATGCACGTTTTGGGCTACACTGCTTACATGTATGGGGAACTGTATTTCCAGAAACTAAGGAAAATAAAAGTCTAGCAAGGCTGATATATTAGACTAGAGCTCAAGTCTCCATTCCAAGAAACAGGAAAAAACATGTCTATGTTTCCTGCACTACACTGAAGTAAAATGACTTCAGTCCTAAGTAGCCATTTCCAAGATCACAGCAGAAATTAGACAGAGTCCTGCAGATGTGTAACTACCAGACATCTACTGGGGGACTGCCAGCCCTCTCAGCTGCTAACTGAATAGGCAAGCAAAACACTAACAGTCTCCTCCTTCAATGAAAGAGAACTCATCTACAGGAACTACAAAACTCAATCATTGGTTTCAGCTTGGCTCCGTAAATTACAAAGTTTTGTTTTTGCAATCACTACAATCGTGAGCAAAATCCAAACTTAATGGCACAGCAAATGTGTAAATCCCCATTAAGGTTTGTTGTTTCATTGGTTTTGTTCCCTTTTTTCTGCCATGTAACTCCTTATTTCATTTCAAGGCTCTTTTGCTTTTAGTTATGATGTAAGCTTCACTTCTAACTACTCATTCAGCGGCGGTGAAATGAACCTCACATTGCTAAGCAGCTTTCTGCCACCCAACAGTGAAGCAGCTGAGTGTTACAGTCAGTGGCTGCAACACAGGACAGGGGCAAACAGCACAGCTAAACATGAGCGAGAGTACGTATAGACAAATATTGTTTATGTTGCTAATTTACAGAGCCATCAACTGCTCTGCTGATGATCAGTCCTCTCACACAGAACTGAGCAGGAGTAGCATCAGTGATTTGGTGCTCAGCAGCAAAGACCAGCTGATGAAAAGGGTATAAGGAATATCAATGAAATCAATGCTTAGAAACCTGAAAGGAGTCCAGCAGTTAGCAAGTTAACCAATTCCCTTGTTGCTCTCAAAACTGGAAATAGAACAACAGTAGGGATAGTGAAATAAGTTATTTTCTATTACATAATTAGAAATAATAAAAATGTTTTCGTCCTCACAAAATATCCACACATTTCCACCCAAGCTGTTAAGTCCCCACTGCATCACCTTATGATATTATTTAAATTTGTATAACTTTTAAACCTCTAACACTGGATTGCACATTTTCTTCATAGTTATTCACTCAGTGAAGAACAGAAGGGCTGTCCTAAAAAGAGGTCAAATTTATTTTGTTCTTTCCCCACTGTGTCCTTAAAACCAAGATGTACTGGGAATAGCAAAGTTATCTGCTTTTCTCCCCACAAAAAAGGAGCAATAAGCTTGAGGGGCCAGTAAGCTCCTTCCACTGCCTTCCTATGTTGCTTGTCATTCCAGAAGCCCAGTCAAAACACCCTTTGCAAAAGCTGCCTTTTTTTTTTTTTTTTCAAAGATGGTCCAAACACTCTGAATCTCAGATCACCCAATAGGAGCTGCACTGCCATCTATGGAAAAGCTTAGGAAAAAGCATTTGGCATTTAGCATTTGCTGATACGAAGGAGGATGCAGTTTAAAGGACTAATAATACAACAGCACAGAAATGAAAACTAAAAAGGCAAATCACACACTAACCACGACCAATTAGTCCCCATCTAATTCCCTGAACTGCTACTCAGCTACATTGCTTCTACTCACCCCAGCCTGTGCCACGGAAACTCCAGAACCCACGATCTGCTCTGGCGATTGCCCTGGAAACACTAAATCCAAGGGGCAGTCCGGCTGGCATTAGCTCCAGCACTCCAAACTCTTAAATCTGACTCTCATCAACTGGATTTTGACACACAGATATGAACTGCTTTTACCTCACCACACGAGAAACTGCATAATTTGATCACGTATCTCCCAGCAATCAAAACACGAGATGTGTTGACTAATCACAATAATTATTCTCTTTTTTTTTTCTAACGTGTCCTTCTACTCCTTGCTTGCAGAGAAAAGGAAACATGGAACAAAAGCTTACAGTAACCTACCCAACAACCTAATTCTTCAGAAATAATGAATAACTGCATCAGAAATTCATCTGCATCTTCATATTACAAACTATAATTGTTTAATCTTTAGGCTAAATAAATCAAATATATCATGATTTCTGCCAAAACCAACAAGCACAGGAAAGAAAAAACACCAAAAAAACCCACTAAAAGGCAACAAAACCCTTCAGAGCTACATTTTCCCCCTCAAAATCCAAGCTGACTGAAAATACATTTCTGCCTTGTAAAAATAAAACAAGTATTATTGATGTTTTTCTCATTTAGATAAAAATTCACAGAACAGTAAGCACTGAAATTCTGAAGCATGAACACGATCAAAATCAAAATGGGTGGAAACAACACACGACTTTCCACATTCAACATCAAGCCTTACAACTTCTTCCTTTCTCCACCTCCTCAAAACCTAGTAAATACATTCTTCCATTTTTAAGCCATCTCTAAAAAGTATTTAATTTCAATAAAGAAAGAAAGAAACCAAAATAGTGAACATAAAAGCTTTCTAATGTACCTCTGCTCCAGATGGCTTACAACAGCTTCTGTCAATCAGATTATTGATTCAATATCATTTCACACACATGTACAAATTAATACATGGAGGTCACATGTATCAAAACCCAAATATATAGTCCAAAAGCATGGTAAAAGAAGCATCTTCCACTTGTTTGTTAAGCTACACAGTATATATCAAAATATCTATATTTAAAATTACCAAGGACAAAGTTTAAAAACTTCCCTCTTTTCCTGACATATGCAGATGTGTCTGTGGGTAAGGGTGCTTGTTTTTGCAGTGGCCTACATGAAACTTGTTTTTTTTCCCCTATAAACACCAATAAAGCTACACAACTGATAATACAAAAGCCTCAAACTGCTTTTCCAAGCTGGCCACAGTTGCCACAAAAAGTTAATAACCATTGCTAAATTCTTTCAAGCCCTACATCCCAACATCATAATTTAAGACTGAGCAAACAATACCACAAGCAGCTAAAAATATATCAGGAATTCGTATGTAGTTACACACAAAGAAGGTAATTACATATCTATTTCCAATGTTCAGGACCAATCTCTGCTGTTCTGCTCTTGGGTTGCAGCAAAGAACCTGACTAAAATTACAAATCAAAGCCTAAGTAGGTGCCACAAACCCTGGCCAAGTCTGAAAGGGGTATCTACATGACTAAAATGGCAGTGGTGACACAGGATCTGAAACACACACTGATTATACCAAATAGGTTTTGCTAGATGTTCTGATTGTTAGTAATGTTTTATCATGTTAATAAAATCCAAGTTGCTTAATTCAAAAGTCTGTGCAGACAAAGGACAGGACAGACAGCAGTTTCCTCAGGCCCACCGAAATCCCAAGGTTGGCTCCCTGACCTCAGCTGGAGGATCACAGCACAGCAACTCTCCCTCCCCCCTTCAGACTGAATGATGCTTCCTGCAGATCAGCTTCAAGTTTAGCAACAAGCAAAAGGTTGTGATGTATCTTATGTATCACAGTTGAGATGCACACAGTCCTGCTACAGCCAGGTATCTACCTGAAAGACTCTATGCTTCAAAAAACTGAGAAATCAAAAATCATCTTTGGTTCACAGGGGTCCTCAAAGAACACAGTACAGAAACAACACAGTCAAGAAGTTAGAGAGGCAATAGTTACTTCCTTGTTTTTTCACTCCTGTGTTTAGAGATTAGTAGGAGATATTTAACCTATCATTTGCAGAAATTAAATTCTTTTCTTTGTGAGCACTACCATGAGATTGCATAAGGAGTGACCTGTTTTGTCCTTACTTTAGAGAACAGGAGTTCCCAAACAATAAGTTTCAAAAAGCTATCAACTAGAGAGGAGAGAGGAAACAATTATCAAATAAAAAAACGTATCATTATCTTAAAAATACACTTAATAAGCAATAAACTCAACCCACTATAATCATTCAAGTTATGTATATAAATACATACTATGCTGTTCATTTCCGAAGAGTCGTAACTTCCACACGGATGGACGCTTCCTATAGGTTCCAACCCTTCTTCATCCCACATGTATGTGCCATCAGAGCTGTCAGATGGAGAAAGCTCAAAAGAGGACCCGGCTCTATAGTTCATCTCTGAAGAAATGACATTCTCGGTTGTATGTTTTGTGCTTTCGCTGTTGTCATCCACTGCTTAAAGAGAACGGGAACAGTTAAGGTTCCAAAAACAATCCAGTATTCGAAAAATAAATGTTAAAATGCGTACTACTGGTGTGTAAACTTTTCTGAAACTATATTGTAGCAGAATACCTGAAGGCATTCTACAGTGTTGTTCTCTTATCCCAGAGGGTAGAAATGCTCAAGCTGGTTTGGTAGCTACACACTAAGAATTCTTCCAACCTACATCTTTGTGAAACGTTTATGTTGCCCCAATTCAGCCACAGTGAAAGCTACTTTCTAGAATTCTGTATCTCTTTAACATATTAGAAGATGGGTCCAAAAATATATGCTTTGGATCCAGTCTTTCAATTGCAACATCTCTCAAAACAAGGTTTTATCACGAGAAGCCCCAAGACTTGAAATCGTGGCTTTCAAAAACATATTCTCGTGTCTTCAGCTGATGTTTAACACAGCACACACCAGGAAAAACAGAAAAACCAGCAACATTCCAATTTATAATTTAACTTATTTGATTAGACAATCTACACTTATTTACACCACTTAGAAGGCAGTTACAGCTGCTCTCTGCCTACAGAGGTGCAGGGAGAAGGAGTTGGAATTTTCTCAAAATACTACCATCCCAGAAAAAATGAATGGCAAAGCAAGGATACAAGGAATCCCACAACCATATCACAAATGTGTTTAAAGGAGGTAACCTTCATTCTTATCACAAAGAGCTCTAACGCTTGGGAAAGAACTATTATGCAGAAAAGGTGTAAGAAAACAAATATGCCAGCATAGAGACAAATTGTATTCTGAAACAATCCACAAGCAATGGGCAATTACATTAAATAACTACTGTCAGAGAATTTTGATTTAGTACCTAAAATTTCAAACAGAACATAAAGAAAAAAAAGTATTTACCAGACACATTTATATCAAGCCAGTCATCACCATTACAGCGAGATCCTCCACTTTCCTTGAGAGACGTGAACGGCTCAATGGACGTGATACTCCCGTGCTCTAATTCCTGAAGGCAGCTCTCCTTCTGCTGTATTTGTATAGTTCTGTTTGCATCTTCTATATCTATGAAGTCATCACTGAAATCTTCACTCAAATCATTCTTTTCAGAGGACGACAAAGAAGATATAGATATTTCATCTCCATCATCGCTCATACACATGACTTTGGACCCATGTTTCCCCAGACTTTCATGCAGGCCCTCATCAGATCCTGTTCTCTGAGCACTGCACTCTATAATACTGTTTTTCTCAACTGCCCTGTTAATATTTGTTGAAATTTCAGAGTTCTCCACGGTGTGTGTGTCAGGAGAGGTACTTTTGCTGCCATCCACAGCAGTATTCCCAGCAAACCGCTGCCTGGTAGGCTTGAGCAGAGAAGGACGACTTAATCTGTATCCAAAGGAAGGTGCTGACCCAGATCCATTTGACAGTGGGGGTTTCTTGGAACAAGGAGCTGACACACCGGAGTACGGTCTGGTAAACCCATACTTCACCGGTTCATTTCCATTGGGTACATCCAACTGACACGCGTTTCTTGACAGCAAAGTAGACCTCTGAGACGTCCTGGCAGCCACATTTTGACTATGATAAGGCCTTGTAAGATCCACAGCTTTATTAAAGGAATGTGACCTGGTTAGAGATGCAGTGGGAAGGAAAGAATTCTGAATGGAATGTGAGAAACTTTGTGATCTTACCATTTTTTCACAGGAAAAAGCCTTGCTATTGTCTGTAGATTGTGCTAGGCTTTCTCCTGAACTTGTCCTTGTGGCACTGGAATTTGCTCTAGGTCTCTGCAAACCTACCACCGGCCTATTTCCATAAAATCCATTTAAATTTGATCTTGGAGCATTGAGTCCAGAATATGAGGTCCTTCCTGACAGGGTACCTTTGGTGAATTTAGCTGAACTAGAGAGTCCGGGTAAAGACTTTGGGTTTAATTCCTCGGTAGAAGATACAAACATATTGGTTGGCTTTGCTGCTTTTGATGCAACCGAAGCAGGACTGTTCAAACCCACCCTGAGCTCATCGTTGCCCAATGCTCCTTGAGATTGAGGATACTTCTCAGAATCGATTAATTTTTCACTGCAGTTGCGTTTAGAGTTGGACTCTCTCCCGTTTTGATCGTTAAGCTGATATCTGTTAGATTTTTTCCAGTTGAAAGAGAAGGAAGACATGCGGACAGTGCCATTGTGCTTGCTGAAATTTCTGCCCCCATTACTCCCTGCTAAGTTGACGGCTGTCCCGTTGGGCACAGGTTGCAAGACACTCCCTAAAGTTTTCGTTCCATATTTCGGTAGCCTGGAAACCAAGGATGTCCTGGTCGGATTTTTTTCTTCCATGAGCTATTGGGTTCATTGGTCCTTAAAGGGTGCTTGAATCTGAGAAGAAAAAAAAAAAACAAAACAAACATCAAACCTGGAGTAACAACACAGTTTTATATACACCTGCATCTGTGTGCTTCCTACATTCCTGTGCCTAACTGTACCATGGGGATAAAAAGTAACCTATACACATTTTGTGAACTCCAGAGAAATATCTGCCACCAGAAGTTATTTGGCAGGTCACAGCTCCCTCCCCCAGCTTTCCTTCTCTACATAAACTGCCTTTTCTTTTCCTTCCTTTTGAAATCTATAAAATAAACTTAAAAGGGGTTAGGTTGAGTTTTTTGGTTTGTTTTGGTTTTTTTTTTCCTTTTACCCATTTAGACCAGCAAACTGAAACTGAACTTTTCCACTGTGTTACAGTTATTAAATTAAAAACTTTGATATCTAGTATTTTTTTTTTAAAAAAGCCATAAATATACAGAGCACAAACCTGTGGTCAGCAATGTAAACCTGCAAAAACAAAATCGGACTGAAAGCTAATCTTTTGAGATGATTTTCTCTTTCCCCAATGTCTATGTTATAACACAGGAAATAATCACTCATCATATACCCTCACCACAATTTTTTTTCCCAGACCTTACTGATATCCCCAAATCAAGATTAACATTCCTAGCCATTCTTTTTCCCCCCTCTTTGTAAGGAAACTGTAGTCTGCTTTGGAAATCTACTTATTCATGTACAAGACTTGAAAAGTACAGGGCAACAGTTGCACCAGGTCAGTGTTAGTGAGTGTATTCCAGAGTTTGACTTCTGTGCAACAATGCACTAACACAAAATCCCAGCTAACTAAGTGTGAGATAAAAAGATCCTTGTAGAACTCATGCATTCCCTTGTATCTTGAATTTTGCTTCCATCCACCTGATTTGGAATACAGGAACTTGACTATACTCTTTAATTGAAGATTTGTTATATCTCAACTTACAGTCACGTCATTTTGGTCTATTTTATATCAAACTTATTGTATAAAGCCATTTCTGCTTTAAAGACATATCGTTGCCTCTAAAACTTTTGCCTTGAGAATGAATTGTGATCTCCTTGCTTTTGACATGCTTTTTGTTTCTTCCCCACTCATGAACATTTCCAGCCCGTGGTTTGGATAACTGACTATGCCTGTACACCCTTTTGTACAGCACTAGTCTGCTGGTTTGCCTGATATACAATACAATCCTGTCTAAATGCTACTATTAAAGGCTTGTAATTCCGACAACACCACCTTGAGAAGTCTCCAAGTTTCAGTGTTGCAACTTAAGACACGTTGTAGCCTTTTGTTAAATTCTGTATTTGCAAGACCAGGTTTCTGGGGTTTTTTCAAGACAGTTGTAAAAGGATATCTTGTCTTTGCTTAGCCTGGATTTTGGTTTTATCAGTTCCAACCACAATGACGTAAAGACAGAATTTCAGCCATCCATACATTATTCCCTGAAACCATTACCCATATTTTTCTTTTCCCAGACTCATATATGTCTGTCTGGCAGACTGTAGAAAAAATGAAAATTTTTAAACCATGGCAATCACAATTAGAACCAACACACAGCAAGTAACATTATACTTATTCAAAGTACAGAAATTATCTTGTGTAACCACAGCAAGCATCACCCTAAAGTGAGTCACTCCCCAAGCTGCAAGACCTCAATAAGAAACACTTTAGATAAAATCAAAGTGGCATTAAATTCATGCAAACTGAAGTGCCCTTAGGATTTTGTCAGTGAATAGGATGCCCTGGAGCATCACTTCTGGAAGGAGATTTACATTACAAAGATAGAAAGAGAAATGTACTGGAGACATGGCTTTTAGGGGCTCCTAACTTGTGAAAACATCAGAATCCACACCCTACAACTGGCAGGGCTTTTCCATTTTCAAATACACAAATCCTGAGTTTTCAAATACTCAGGGAATCCTTGCACATCAGAGACAAAACTTTCACCCAGCTGTATAAAGAAGCACATGATTCCATCCCTCCACCCCGAAACAGCAGAACATTTTATTTATCACGTATGATACCTGGCTCTATGTGGATTTAGGTGACTAATGTTAGATTTTTGCCTACAGTGTACCTGCACACTTGGCAAAGGAAAATATCATCATGTTTTAACACCAAATGTCAAAGATATTTACTTTATGCCAACTATATATAGTAAAGGCAACAAAGTAGACTTTTTTTTTTAAATAAATCCATGAACAAAAACTGGCCTTTAGTATCCGGGTGAATTCATTCCCACTAAGCATCAGAATCCTCAGATCCCTCAGAAGATAACCCAACTCAAAAGAGAACGCAAGTCTTGTAAAGAAGTCTTCCAAATTAAAAAAGTTAAATTAGAAAACTGCTAATTTAATGCTTTATGGATAATTCCCTTTTCACATCTGTCTACCATCTCTTAGGTGACTGCAAAATTTAAATGAGGCCATTTAATTAGATTACTTTAATCCACCACCAAGTGCTGCAAATTAAACTTGAAAAGGAGACTTTTCAGTTCTCTAGGAAGTGTGTTTGCTCATTTATCCTTGATTAGGTAAAGACAGCACATTAGCTTCAAGAAAACTGTACTGACTGCTTAAAACACTTCAGATAATTAAATTAACAGACAAACAATACTGTCTGTATTTTATTAGCTACTTAACTGTAACTGTTGTGTCACCTTTTCAAATTTGGGTTACATTTGTTTTGTTGAAATACAGTGCCATCAATAAACACTAAAACTTAACAGTATCGCGTCTGGCAGATTTTTCCCAGAAAATGGGAAACTAAGTTCTCAAAAATATCACTCATCTTGACATATATTTACTGCTAAAGATTACAGTATCACAACAAAGAAACGCCCTTATCAAGCACCACAGTACCTGCAAGTTATAGCATGATTTCTGCATCCCTAAAAATTCAGGTTCAATGTAATTTAAATTGTAGTTTGCTGCATTATAAAGAAATTCAAACTATTTTTAGACTTAAGCAATCTATGGATTTTTTAAAACAGACATTTGGGCAAACAAGTTTTATATTCTTTGCCTTGGGAAATATATTATCTGGTGCACACAAGCCTAATCAGGAATTAAGCTAATTATAAAGAGCCTAGCCTTACATAATGATCTAGGGAAAAGGAATTAAAACCCACAGACCCTCTCTGAAGTATAATCTGAATTAACTGAAAAGCTGCTACATCCTTACCTTCAAGGATACTCAAGATCCTGGTGATAAGCAAAAGGATATTCATTTTCACTCTCCTTTGTACTTTCTCTATAGGATTATTTACACCTCAACAAAATCCTCCACCATTAATTTCAACTAGAAAGCAAAACATTGACTCTTACTTCATCCACAGTTTGTTTCCACACCCCCAGGAAGGTAGTTTCCTATACATTAGCTTCTCAGCTAAGTTCAGCTTTGCATCTGAGACTCTGCCCTATGTGTTGTGGAATGATTGTTACAGCAGAAGGCAGCTTAAGGTTCATACATTTCAAAGTCTGGGCTCCTTGAAACGTTGTGATCCCCATGATCCACACCACCACAAAGCTAACAGCATTTTCAAGTTCCAGATGGCCATCAGGGGGACCGAATTCTCCTCCTATTGTCACAGCAGTGTGGAATATACAGCTGCTGGATGAGGCATATCTGACAGACTGGTGACAGACGAGACCAATTCCGTTCTGCAGACCCATTGCTAGGACAACAGTTTCAGATTTATGCTTTGTGCACATGCATTTCAACTCTGTCCTGTGCATGACTTACAAAACCACCTCTCTCTACATCTCTGGGTTTTAGCACCACAGTTTCTTGTTTATTTATTTGCTTTTCTATTCAGGACACAGCATGTGAAGATCTTTTCACCACTGATTTCTGGTGAAACTTAAGTATACCTTAAGAACAGTTTTTTCTTAAAAATGTAATTAAAAATGCATTAGGGCAGCTTTGTGAATATATCATATTTCCACCAACGTAGGGAGCTATTGAATGTCATAAGGGAAAAATCAGGGAGGCCCTTGCAACAGATGCAGCCAAAGGCTTCTTTATCACGTACTTAAGGACACTGCAAGATGGGGAGCATGGCTGCAAGTCAGTTTTACCTTTAAGAGAATCATGGGAGTTCAGGAGAATGGAAGAAACTGGCAGGAGATCTGGCTAGCAAACAACTGCTCTGAGCAGGACAAGCATTGGGCAGTCAAGGATCATGAGTCTTGAGGAAGTTTTGCACGTTGTATCAATGACACTGAATCAGAATGCAACTAGAAATTCTGATGGCTCCAAGACTGAACTTGTAGTATTGACAGCTGTCATATATTTATGTTGTTTACCCAGCACAGACTGGTTTCATTTCAGTCAAAAAAGCTGCTGCTTCTCAACTGCAAGATCCAGTAAAATCTACCAGCTCTGTAGTAAAGTCCTCCAACCCTGCCTTACTTCTCCTCTCTTCAGTTTCTCCAAAACACCTCGTCTTGAATCAATGCCCAATGCTTTATGAAGGCATTCATGAATTTTAGCCTCTCTCCCTTTCCTGTGTCCAAGCTGCAGTGGTTAACACCAGCTTCCTTGACAGTCTGCTTTCTGAAGGTACCACTGCATGAAGCATGGCAAGAAACTCCAAGATGCTCGGTGTTTATTGTTCTACTTTTCTGCAATCAGCTTGCTCTTCTGTGTCTGAAGTTGTGAGATTCTGTTTTCAGATCTCAAGACAGCTTAGAGGTAAGTCCTTTTCTGTTCTTCCTCCCTCACGCTTATGACGTTCTAACCACTTGTAAGGGCAGATCTATCAAACACCAAGCAAACCAGTTATCCAAGCTGCTCTTGTGCTGAATTTTACTTACTGTCAGTCAGAATGCACCAGGACAAAGAACATGATAATGAATAGAGATAAAGGGAGAAGGCAAGAAATACATCATGAAGAGATTGAGGTTTCTGTATTTCTAACATTGAACAGTACTGAGCAAAAAATGTGACGTCTCTTGCCATCTTTAAAGGCATTGTTGTTACTCATCAGAACAGAGATTCCTAATGCTTTTTAAGT